GAATGTTCGAAAATCCAGCGCAAATTTGTATGGACGCTATAACGTTCTTCGGTATTAGTCGTTTTTAACATTTTTCTCCTTATAGACGCAACAGATAGAAGCAAGATTAGAAGTGATCAAATGCGCCTTTATATCGCATTAAGCCTATACCCCCTTTCATTTTTCGCGAACACTCCCTTTAAGATGGTACAAAGAATTGTCTAATTGGAAAAAACAACTGTCAATGTTTAAGATGATACAAAAATTTTATATAGAATTTGCCCAGTCATATTTTGGTGAAAAAAATGTTTAACAAAGTTTTACCTTATATCGCTGGCTGATAACTGACGTGCTGACGTGCATACTAATTCGTTAATAAATAATTAGACAATAAGTACATATGAATATCTTATATCAAATATTTGGTATTTTGTAGAATAAATAAATGCACTTTAGTCAGATACAGGGTTGTACACAAAGAATGACACGACTCATATTTAAGAACATAGCCTCCATACAAATTCACAAAGTTGCATTATTCCACTCAGATAGTTACAACCTATAACTGTCGAATTCAATTTGATGAATTCGTAAATCGTTTTTAGTTAATAATATTTGATTTGTTTCATATACAATATACAAGATGATTTTTCCCCATTTTACTAAAAGATAATTCTTGTTAGTTTTGGACCAGTTGTAATAACATTGAAGGAATTATAGATATATGAGAAGATTTTGTAGAATAGGATTCCAGCTTTGAAAATATTAATTTCGTCCTCCATGTGATGAAGTACAGTCTAATTGTACAAATATCGGTTTCAAGTTTAGAACTTGTTTGAGAGACTCTTAAATAAGCAGAGAACGATTTACAATACTGGAGATAATTAATTTCTTTATCAAATATCATATAATATCGAGTTAATAAATATTGAAATTATTTTTTTTTTGCCATAAACCTTTAAAAAATCGACTTTTAAAATCACCCTCTACATTACAAAACAATTATTTCATGCATTTCAAAGATAATTATTTGGCTGCTAGGTGTCTCTGCAATAGATGTTTCCGTGGTTCCACGTGGAAAAGACACCTAAAGACAGCTAGCAACGCCTAGCAACCAAAAAATCATTGTTTAAAGTACATCGTATAAATAACAAATAAAAATCTTATAAAAAATATCAACGAAAATAGAGTGCATCAAATCAAATTCGATAATAATGGATTATAATATCTGAATGGTTAAATTGAATTATTTACGCTCTGATTCTGATTCTTACTCCATGAATATGTATGGACGCTACGCTCTTCGGTATGAGTTGTGTTTAACCATTTTCTCCTTTCAGACGGAACAGATAAGTAAGATAAGTAGCGATCATCATCGAATACGAAAAGTTGTTAGCCTATACCCCTTTCTCTAACCATCTCTTTTATTAATTTATAAATTACATTATGATAATTAAAAGCAAATGACTAAAGAAACCATAGATAAAAGGAATACTAAGAAGTATACGTTGGACCAAAGACTTTGCTGATTAAAGATAGCGCATCAGAAAATTTACCAAAATTCGACGCATTTTCTAGGGTAGACAAAGATAGTAACTAATGTCGTCTTCTCCAAAAATCCAGTATATATTTACCATGTTGCCGTTTCATAATGTTGTTTCTTGTTATGTATTAAATAGTTATTTAAAAACAAAACAAGGAAACAACTTTAGTTTTTCTATCTTGAAATATTTAATTTGTCCATAGTCCATAAAAGTGACTAGTGGAAAGACAAAGAACAAAATTTACAGAATTCATAACTTTTTAAGTTGAAATAACAACGATATCTTTCTCATTGTTACCCAGATAAATGTTTAAATGGTACCGTTGTTGATAGGACCTTTAATGGATTAGTTACTTGAAATTACATCTAACAGTCCCTTAGAACATTTACTATTGGTTTGAAGTATATGAAGTGTTTAAAGGAAATAAATTAATGTCTCATATATAATTCATGCAAGTAACCTTGTACTTCATAACAGTAATCAATTATCTCCAAACTTTTTCATTCAAGTGTGGCGGCTATGAAAGTCGTCTTTCCTAGGAAGAACCTTTCGCGGCAGGGAGAAGAATAGAGGAGTTTCTAGAAGCCACGTCATATATATATATTTTCTACTTTGTAACTTTATATTTAAAAATATATTGAATTCTCTCTCTACCTGATTTAAAAGGAGTGACCGGCTATGTAAGGTAGTTGAACTGAGGACGCAGTGTTGTGGAAAACTTCTTTAGGATTCATTTGAGACATATTTCACTTTTTAAAGATCTGTAAATCCTGAGTTTAAGCGCAAATTCGACGTTCAAAACTCCTGATTTGGGGGTGGATACGCTTTCAGAATTAGTTTATGAATTAGTTATGTTTATGTGCTTATGCAAGATCTTTAAAGGAATAGTCGACATAATTTTAAGCATTAAAGAGCATTTATAATTATAATTCCGCAAGTAACTTACGATTGAAAATTATCAAATAGGAAGCAATGATATCTTGAATAATTTTGCGTAGAATAAAGTTTAAATGGTACCATTGTTAATCTGGCATACCCTGTTTTGAATAAATTATGTCTTTTATATATATTTTAGTTGCATGTTTTTTTTAGTATAAATGTTTTATCTCACAAAAGTTTCAAAAATGAATTCTTTATTTACTTTATTTTTATTCTGAGCTTCAACTGAAATACCTGAATAAAGATTTTAGCAGCATTTGAAACAAATGCTTTTAATCATTTCATTATATTGTCAACCAGTATAAACTATTAATTAACAAGCATAAGAAGTTGAATATGAAGTTGAACTTTTCACTTTTCAAAATTTAGACCAAAGTGATAATCGAGAGTAAGAAAAATCTCAAATATATTAAATAAAAACAATTTTAGAAAATATTTATTTTAAATCTAATTAATTATCCAATAGAACAACCGAATTAAATCACACAAATTATAAATATGTCAAAATCAAATTAAATCAAAAGCCATTTTTATATCTATAATGGACAGCCTTGAAGAATTGATCCTTTATCAAACATTACATCACAAATATCACATTGTGAACACCTTCCTCTCATTTCTGTTTCTATGCAGTCTTTTAAAACTGAAGCTTCCTTTTTCAGATTATCCTTGCAGTAATTATATGTACCTAAAAATTGTTTTAAATTAGATGATTGATTAAAAAATATAAGGTTTTTACTCAACAGAAAATTAATCTTTAGACATTTTAAACAGTTCTCAGTCTCTACATTTGATAATAAAAAAAATCTTTCAAAAAATTTAAAAATCAAATAAAGTTAGAAAAATAATCTTATAATCAGCAGAAAATTAAAAAGTAACCAATTGTTTTGAAAAATCTGTACTGGAAAATTTAATTTAAAAAATATATTTAACTCTTACCAAAAATGTTCTGTTTACAGGTATCATCACACTGAAGCACGATCTGAATTAAGACAATTTATCCACACAAAAAGTTAGATAGTATTTGAATTTTTAATTTACTATACTAGTAAAAAAAACTGTTAGGGAACTTGAAAAACTACTTGAATGTACACTTGTCGGACACAGTTTTATAAATTTTCTCGAGAAAGGAACATCAGATAGAACTTAAATTGGTGGCGATCAAGTCCTAAAATTTTTAGGCTTAAACCTATACCCCTTTTCATTTTACCTTAACAGTCCCTTTAAAGGGGCTGTCAGGGTGATTTCTAGTGACCCTCCATGCAAAGATCTTAAAAGCTTTGTCTGATCAATTCTTAAATAGTTGTCAATGCTTAAAATTTTAAGAACTGATTATTTTGGATTGTGTGTTCTCTACAAGAGTGCCAATTTCTACTGCATGAAGTCGTATCGGAATTATCTTAATTTAAAAATAAGAACAAAGTTTAAGGTTTTTCAGATCACTTTCCCCCTATTTTATTATATTTTCCCGCTTAATTAATATTTTTAACATATTCTGGATTCATGATTTCATTTTTCATCAAAAATAAAAAAATTTTTGCACGCAAATCTCAATTGGATACTATTAATAAAAAAAAATGAGGATAAATTATTTTTTCCCCTGTTTTTTAAAGCTTTTTTACCAAAAAATTTGATTCAAAGACAGGCCATGGAGGTTTTTAAATACCTAACTGTTGGTCAGGAGTCTCATTGCTTATTTTCAGATCACTTTTCTTCCTTTTTCACCCTATTTATCTTATTTCCCCATTTTGTTAATATTTTTCACATTTTCTGGATTCATGAATTCATTTTCATCGAAAATAAAAAATCTTTTGCACGCAGATCTTAATTGGATAGTATTGAAAAATAAATGGGGAAAAATTACTACCCGCATTTTTTCCATGTTTTTTAAAGCTTTTTTACCAAAAAGTCTGATTCAAAGACAGGCCATAGGTGTTTTAAATTTTAGATCACTTTTCCCACTTTTTCCCCCCTATTTTATCATATTTTCCCACTCTGTTAATATTTTTCACATTTTCTGGATTCAGGTGGGAATCTATAAATTTTAACTGAGAATACTTTGATGGAGGTATCAAATGTATGATATTAGAATAATGGAAAAATTAATTGCCATCCCTACTAACCCGAAAACTTAAAAATACGTATGACATACGTATATTTACGTATTTTTAGGTTTAGGAATATGTAAAAATACGTATTTTTGTAACCATTACCAAAGGAACTATTGACGAATATCTGTAAGCACATCATGGGAGCGTTGTAGAGCTTCATGTTGGTGGTGCAGATCAACAGGAACTTGAACATCAGGTTTCAACTCCCTCCAGGCTTCAGATCAGGGGGAGAGTTCTCGGTTTTATCATTTCAGGGTTGAGGGATTAAATGTCTCCTCAATTGGTTCCTATGATAATTTTTTTGGAACTCTTAGGACATTATTGGGCTGGATGGAAGCATCGCCTGTTGCTGGCTAGGTATCTGTATCATCATCATGAAGGAGCCAAGTTGCTCCCTGAGACAGAGTTGTTAACATCTCAAGTGTTTCAATCTGACTACTAATGAAAACATCAATTTACTCAAAAATTATAGCAATTTTGAAACATTGCATTTTCCAAAATGTTTGCATTAAATTTCTTACAGAACAATTCTCTTAAAAAGAGTACAAAATATTTTCAAATTCTAACTTAAAAATGTATTTTTGTGCAGTTGAGTCACGCAAGGTCCCTCACAAAAATTTGGACTCGATCGGTTAAGCCGTTTTGACGTTTATTGGATGCAAACGGACAGACAGACAAGCAAAGTATATATATAGATTGTCTTTTGTAAAAATAAATTGGCTTCAATGCAGAAACTTTTGGTGGTAGTTTTGATAAAAAGAGAAAAGAAAAAAGGGAAAGAGTACAAAAACGTCAAATGTTAAATGTTACTCTATGAGACTTAAAATATAACAATATAAAACAACACCTTTTTATTCAGGTATAGTTAAATGAAAAAAATCCCGCTTGTTGGTACTCTTATATGAAAGAGGAATGAACAGTGTAAAGAGATTTTACTTTAAAAATTATTTTGGGTTTGCTAAAAAAATGTTTTAAAACGATAAAAAACTTTCACTTGATAGTTTGAAAGATATGCTTGTAATCATTTTATTATATTGTCAACCAGTATAAACATAAGCATAAGAAGTTGACTATGAAGTTGAACTGGAAGTAGACATGGTTTAAGTTGAAGAGAACTGGTTAAACCAGGCTTAAGAAGAACTACTTAAGAACTACTTTTTACTTTTCATAATCGAGAGTAAGAAAAATCGCAAATATGTTAAATAAAAAAGATGTTAGAAAATATTTATTTCAAATCCAATTAATTATCCAATAGTACAACCTAATTAAATCACACAAATTAAAAAAAATGTCACAATCAAATTAAATCAAAAACCATTTTTTTAATCTATTATGGACAGTATGGAAGAGTTGTTCCTGTCGCTTCTCCTATTACATCACAAATAACACAGTGTGGACACAATCCAAGCATATTACGTTTAACGCAGTTATGTGTCAAAGAATTTACCGGCTTGCACGTACTATATGCATCTAAAAAAATTTGAATTAGATGATTGATTAAAAAATTATAAAAGGTTTTTACTCAACAGAAAATTAATCTTTAGACATTTTAAACAGTTCTCAGTCTCTACATTTGATAATAAAAAAAATCTTTCAAAAAATTTAAAAATCATATAAAGTTAGAAAAATAATCTTATAATCAGCAGAAAATTAAAAAGTAACCAATTGTTTTGAAAAATCTGTAATGGAAAATTTAATTTTAAAAATATATTTAACTCTTACCAAAAATGTTCTGTTTACAGGTATNTTTTTTGGCTTAAACCTATACCCCCTTTTCATTTTACCTTAACAGTCCCTTTAAAGGGGCTGTCAGGGTGATTTCAATTGACCCTCCATGCAAAGATTGTAACGCCTGATTCAAAACCGTCATCTTAAAAGCTTTGTCTGATAAATTCTTAAATAGCTGTCAATGCATACAATTTTGAGAACTGATTGTTTTGGATTGTGTGTTTTCTACAAGAATGACTTGCCAATTCTACTGCATGAAATCATATCGGATTATTGGAATTATCTTAATTGAATACTATTAAACCTAGAAAAACTGCAATAACCTCCATATTTTTGATCAGATCAAGATTTCAACCGTTATTAATCTGGCATTGTCAGAGTCACTTGAAATTGCGCTTATACAGTATCTTTAAAGGCACTGTCCTTGGAATTTTAAGTGACCATAAAAAAGAGGCAGTTCCCGATTTACAACAGTACCCTTCAACTCTTTATCTAGTCAAATAATGTGGAAGAAATTGTCGTCTTTTTAATTCTGACAATTTCCCTCTGTTGTTTCTATAGTGAAAAATCCTCAAGTTTTAGAGAATTCACAATTAAAATGATACATTTTTTAAAGAGGAATCATGGATATCTCATTCATTTCTTATCAGACAAGGGTACTAGTGTGAATAGGGTATGTTACTCTATCACTTTAAGTGAATCCAACATCCCACTCATGTTTCTTAAAATTACGTCTGAACTCTTTTTTTTTCTGAAGATTTGTAGACAAGAAAAAATTCCAATTTGAAACCAAAGAAGTTATCTTTAAACCCGCTAAATTCCGTCAATGTTAAAATCAAGATTATTTCAGTTTAATTCAAATTCTTTCAAGTTTTTAAACACAAGTTCTGATGAGCTTTGTACAAGGAAAATTTTATATTTAAAACCAATCTAATTGGCTTATTTCTGTATCTACAACGGTGTACCCCTGAAACCTTAATCTTATCAAAAATGAGGCAGATAATGCCATTGTTATAAGCATGAAATGCGCAATTGCACTTTCACAGAGAAACTGCAAATTAAAATAAATAGTTTAAATAAACAAAAACATAAATAATTAATACTTGTTCAGACAAAGCTTTTTTATGGTACCATTGTTAATTT